TAATTATATTATTATTATTAATTATATTATTATTATTATTGATACTGATATTGATACTGATATTGATAATATTATTAGATAAATGGTGAAAATGAAATTTGAGGAGAGGATCAGTGACGACGCACACATTGTTTACATTGAGGGAAAGGACTAACCTTAGCATAGTACAATCGTGTCTCCTCGATTAACGATTCATTGAAACTCATGCAAGTTGGCATTGCTAATGGCTTTCAAGGTGAGATTGGAGCTATTTATAGTGTATGTGGTGGATAGCGAGCGACAGCACCACTAGCACTAGCAGCAGCAGTAGTAGTAGTAGTAGTAGTAGCAGAAGTAGAAGCAGCTAATTAATGGATTGGTAAGTTGGCAAGTTAGTTAATAAAAATGAATAGCAGTAGTAGTGGTAGTGGTAGTGGTAGCGCTGTAGCAGTAGCAGCACCTCATCTTTCTGCAGATGACAGTACTCACAAAAGGACTACAGTAATTAGCGCGATGATTCAATGTCTCTTAATGAATGCAAAGATTTCAAGAGATTCTTTATCTCGATCAGAATTTCTGCTCTAACCGCAATCTTCTCGTCACAACATAAACACACTCCCTGTAATGATGAATATCAGAAATTATATTGTTTTAAATGAAAGATTGTGTGAGAATGAATTTCCTCGAGAACAATTCAGAGGAATTATGGAGTGGATGAAGGAAGTGATTTCAGTTCGACAAGAACCACGGAGAGACTTCGTCTTGGAATATTCCCCTTGTCGCTTTCCTTTTAAGGTTACTGTGAACATTTGAACAAGCTGTTCCAATCAAATTAGCAGTAAGTTAATTAAGAATGAAAGAGGAAGGAAGCACGGGAGGGAATTGCGAACAAATTGAAAGAGAGTAGAATGAGAGGATCTGATGAATTAACAGAGGAAGAATCGTTTCCGGAATTATTTCAAATCGGAAAAGGAAAGATAAAGAAGAAAGAGGATGAGGAGGCGTAGAGAGAGAAGAGTGGAAAACATTGAGCGGTGGTGATTATTCTCGAGAATATCAAATGACAGCACAGCTAACTGAAGTAAGGTGCTTCACCAGAACTCACTCTCTCCATCTCAACCTCCGACATCACATTGCATCACACCACACTTCTTATCCCTTCGCCCTTCTACTCCACTTTGAGAAAGTTATAACGATCATGGATTCGCCCCGCCTTCCGGAGCAATTAATTATAAGCAGCGGTAAAATTGAGGATGACTAATGACGACGTTTGCGTTTCTGTGTAATATTGTGCTTCTGATGGGTGAAATATTTCTATCAATCTTTCCAAACTCCGTTGAACTGCACGCTACATAATAGTGAAAGGAGAATTTAAAGCGAATGAGAATCTCGGGTTCAGAAGGTCGGGCCTGTGTGGGACGAGATGTTACTGATCCAATTCCTCTTCTCTCCCCCCTAGAAAGCCATCACATTCCCGGAATTGCTTTGCTTTTCTGCACATGGACTGTTCAGAGCACACACTCACCTATTACAATACCTGACATGCTCGAATTAAAGTGAAGTGGAATGAAATGAACTTAACTTAAATAGCACACAGTGAAATGTAAAGAAAATGAAATAAATATCATAGACAGCTGGAAATGCAAAGTATATTAAGCGGAAAATGGACTAAACAAGATTAAATCAAGTGGAATTTGAATGGAATTGTGTTTGAGTGAAACGAATTAAAATGCGGTATGAAAGAAAGAAAAATTTTATGCAGAACTGAAATAACTTCAATTAGGGAACATGAAATTAGATTAAAATTAGAACAAGTAAGCATGAAGCATTAGATTTTCAATTAAATTTGTCCTCATTTGATTGCACCAATTGTTTGTAACAAAAAAAACTCGCATTCCGGAAATCGAATTATCTGGGAATTGTCAGTAACTCGTCGATTCTGATTGATTTCGTTTTCTTACAGGAATTTTTAGTGCTCCTACCAACTCTGCTAATTCATTTACTTTAATTATTAGCATAACATTTCTACAGTCTAGCCTGCCTCCACATTAAGATAGTTTAGATGGGTTTGTTAAACCGATGCTTCTCAAAATGTTGCGTCAGGGAGAGCTGTATAGCCACTCTCGGGATAAAATCCTGCTCGTTACCACCGACGTTTGGTGAAAGCAAAGCGTTAACCATAAATTGGATAGCTTACTAGCCAAAAGAATGGATAGCAAATAGATTGGGGCAGCAGACTGAATGCGATTTTAATTCTTGAAAGTGCTTCGCTCTCTAAAGACAATAAATTTGCAGCCAAGAGGGATGAAAATTCATGAACCAATCAATCAAACTGTTTCCACATCTTCGCTGTCGCTCTAAGAACTATCAGTAGCTCCGGTAGTACCATTCACTTCAATCTCATCAGATTGCTCCCGAGGTGTTCGGACGTTTGCAATCGTAAAAGTGGATTGGGGATGGAAATGGGTTCCTTTCGTTGTTTGGTTGCGCCAAACAGTTACATTTGAGCATTTGCCTTAGCAGCCCTGTCAAGATTAACTTGTCAAGAAAATTAAAGTTACGTAATGCTCTCTTTGGAATTGCTTGGGTTTTCCTCAAACTACTGATGACTGCTTGGGAAGTTATCGCTCCATGTTACGTGAAGGAAATTGCCATCTCCTCCTCGATCCTCGATACGAGACATGATGAGCTAACTCCGACTCCGACATTCATCATAGCCAAGTACGGAAGCATCTCTCCAGTTCCGGTTCAACGTCCCTGGACCCAAATTCTTTCCACTTATCTTTCCAGCTATTTTGATCGATTTGCTTACTGCGTGCATGGTTCCGTCCTCGGGACGGGTAGCCATGCTCCCTGCTTATCTCCGAAGTTTCCAGAGAACTTATCTCGCAGTTTAAAGTTTACAAAATAACTGAGCTTTGTGCAAAGCTCGTTTCCATTTCATTACACTTTCCTGCAGGGAGCTGCAGCGGAGTCCGAGTCAACGATCAGCCGAAAGCCGAATTGGATTACAGCATTAATGAATCGATACATTTCAACTTCATCTTCATCCCCCTTACTTTTCCGGGAATGATGCAAGCCTGTTGGGATTGCTCTTTCGACAGATTAGCTTTCAGTTGCCACTTTGGTTGTAGGTGGTAAACTAATTCACTGCCATGTATTTTGCCATAAGCTGGCGCGATGATGATGAAAGATTTTCACTTCTTCAAAGCCTTTCCAGGGAAGCTTAAATGTTGGCAATCCATGCTAGCTCCTATCGATGGCATATTACGGTAAAAGTAATAGTAGTTATAAGAAGCTCTTATGCATACTAAATGTGTTCATGAAGTCGGGACTCTCATCAGAGAATTATCGCCTGGAAGTAATTATTCTTTCAGATAATAAGCTCCTTCTAACTAATCGAATTCTTCCCTCTCCTCATTAACTTATAATTAAGAATTAAATAATTAAGACAATTTTATCCACTCAGACTATACTCTCGTCTTCTTCAGACCGGTAGTATATTCAAGGCTCATTCCTTGCTTCCAACTAAGCATTGCTTGAGTTAGGTTACTGCTTTTTGTTTCCTTTTCGTCCTTCCATATATGTTTCACCTTTCTTGAATTGTATATTTCTTCAACAATATTGCTGCTAGCTTGACAACCATACATCCGAAAATAACTTTATACCATAGAAATTACATGCTTATATTATTAATATTTATATAAATCAAATTGTTTATCACAGATTCCTGGACAATGTTTGATACAATTTGCTCATTCAACATAAGGTATGATCTGAACATTCCTTTAATCGCTCCGCTAATGACTGTTATTGTGTGACACTTTTGTTTTTGCGTTAAAAGATGACTGGTGACCACAATATCAGTGTCCCCTCGGGATTCTCTCTGCCATCAATATCAGTGTTGCACATTTTCCTCTTCAACCAACAGGGAGTGACCAATGCAATCCTAACAATTGTACTATAACTGAATCTCTCCATCAAATAAATAAGTCTTCACTAAAATTCCACTCCACTTGACAAACTCTCCTTCCTTGAAGGAGTCCCTCAGAACAAAAACATTCACAACACCTTATCAATAAGATCATGAAGGCCCAACTACTTCTTAAATCATTAGCACTGATATCTCCAATATCAGCATTATGAAGAATACAGATCCAAAAGATCAAAAAACTATCACCAGCATTCTTTGAAACCATCCCAAGGAAGCCGGTAACGTTTTTAAGGAAATATGCATATTAGCGCCTCCAATAGAATCCGTCTTATGTTTTGATGGATTCGGTACATGCGAAGAGTGAAGGTAATATCTTGAATATTATCTTTTCATCTTCCCGATCATCTATTGAGATGGAACACGATGCAAATGTTGATATTCTGAAGTGACAGCGATTACATTCACTTGCCACAACTTCGAGAATCCTGTTGAATTGCATGTTTGAGTCGACATGCATCGAATGGAGGGGCAGTACATTTGCATTCAACTGCTTTGCTTTGCAGTTGATTTTGAAGGAGTGATCCAAATATGAATGAATGATAGTAGTATTGGTTATAATTTTCCAATGATTATTACTACGTTGTTATTACAAAATGGAATCATTCTGAGGATTACAGTGATAATCGAAATGGATAGTGATAAGGTAGGAGTGGCTGCGCATGCACAACAGAATAGCTTAAAAATGCGATTTAAAGAAATTTTGTGGAAATGTTCCCCAATGAATCCAAAAAAATCTTTAGAAAAAGGAGAAAAGAAATATTTTTGATTTTTGTTACCGAAAAGAATGAAACGAAAGTGAACTTGAGAATAAATGAATCCTAGAATAAATTAAAGAAAATTACATAGGAATAATTTTCTTTGGAATACTTTTCAACTGCTCGACTAATAATGCACGCACAGCATGCATGCATGCATCCAAACTAGCATATGCAACAACCAAAAAAAGAAACGAAAGAAAATGGAAACAATGCATTGCATTGTGATCAATATTTCATCAATTAATACACATTTTGCAGCGAAATTTACTTGATATTTCATTTAAGCACGTGAAAAAGATAAAAAATTTTATTAAAACATATGAAAATCTTTCAAAAAAAGGAGCGAACAAAAATTAAAAATTTTTTTGGTATTATAGAGAAACATTTAAATTCATCATTTGAATTCTAAGAAATCCATTATTGTGGAATGAAGTTTTAGATACCTAATATTAAGGAAGTTGATGAGAAAATGGAGAATGCGAATTTCTATCTCATAACATTATCGGAGAAATTGATCGCATAATTATGCATACGTGTCAAGAATTGCTACATGTGACAATTTCTTAATGATTTCTATCAATCCTAGCAGTCTCAACTTAAATTCACTGCTTTATTAGATTTCTATTCGTTCGAATTTTCCGCTTTTTAACTAGCTAACAAATGACACAATTTTTCGTCAGTTCTTTAGCTTCAAAAATCGCATTTCTGCTTGCTTTTTGTTGCTTAAATTTAAATCAGCTTATTGACTTCTATGAAATTATGCAAAATGTAAAATAATTAAGGTTACGAAAAAAGCTGGAAATATATGACAATAATCCCTGATTTATACACATGTGCATGCATTTTTTTCGACGCAAATTGAAAGGAAGTCGTGAAGGAAAAGTTGGTGAGAGCAATATTTGATTGAAAATTTGATTATAATTTCAGTAATATGATATATATTTTTGCATACATATATTCATTGCACATGAGAGGCCATAATAAACTTTAATTCGTTCGAATGACGAGATAAAGAAAATTATCATCAAAGATTAAATAAAATAGGACAATAAATTATTTGTTGCCATTCCTTCATTGCTTCCAACTTCGCTTACAAATGATATTATTTTGCATTTATTTCCACTGTTTACTTCATTTTTTGTGCTTCATTCTGCCATCATTCTTTTTTTTTAAATTTTATTTTTCTCTCAGTAAACATAACTGATTGTTATTTTATTCTATAATATCATTTTTTATATTACTTACTTCTTAGCTCGGATTGATCAGTTAGCGCATATTTAACTTATCCAAACATTTTATTGTATGATAGGATAACTAAAAAAGAGAAGAATCGGTACAATATGAAATGTCAATATGAAGTGTAATATGTTGTGATATGCATATTTGTGAATGTTATCAAAATAATAACAGTAACAGAATAAAAAATAGTGATTAGCGACATATCCGCTCATTATGCAAATTTGTTTTGAGATTGCCGCCATTCAATCATTCCAGACAATCGCTGATATACGATTTTCTCGATCATCTTCGCTTATATTTGACGCTTCGATCACAACAAATCATTATGCAACAAATTTGCTTATTGCTTATCTGTTAGCTTACCACGGTTTCTTTTCAAAATTAACCGTTTCATTCAGAAATCCAGAAAACAGAGGATTTCTTTTAACTCAAACAGGTTTTCATGCCTTCATTATTAACCATATTTCATTATTCATTCTTTACATAATACTCAATTAAATATATTATTATCAGTTTATTATTGTTCTATCAGTCATTGTTATCAATGTCAATGTAATGTTTTGTTAGCATTATGACTAAAAATAACTGTTATTACTTTCATCAATATTGTCTCAATTACTCATTATTAATATTCATTATCAGTGATTGATGCCTATAGTTTTCCCTTTTCCTGATGACTCTGTCATAA